ACTGTACATCGTCCTCACAAACCATTGTGTAACATTGCACATTGATACTTTGGAATGCGTAGCGCACCAAAAAGAGGCGCGCGATAACGCGGAATGCTTAATCCTTTTTTATCCTTTAGATAGGGCTGTGATTGGGGGCACACACGAAATTCTCCTTTAATGGCAACGGCCCAAGTACAATCACATTCAGATATCACTATGTTTCTTGGTGGAAGTCGAATGCGCATAACAAAACGGCATTGATCCACACCAAGATAGGAAGCTGGCAAGAGCAAAAAGGACATGAACCAAAACTGGCTGGACCGATAAGAAGTGCTTTAAACACGCTTCTCATTTTTTCTTTGTTGGCCCAACCAGTTCTTGTATTTCTCTCCGTTCTGATAGGACATTGCGATTTCTCAGCATCTCTATGAGATCATGACAGTTCCAGCGCATCACAGCCTAGCTCATTTTATTGAAAAGGCGTGATTGATGAAAACCAGAAGGAATAGCTTAGTCAAATGCATTGATATCGGTCGCTGTTTCGCCCTAATCAAGACAACAACAAGACGGCATTGATCCACACCAAGATAGGAAGCTGGCAAGAGCAAAAAGGACATGAACCAAAACTGGCTGAACCGATAAAAAGTGCTTTAAACACGACTCAAGACAACAACATTAGGACCACACCGGTGAGAGCTATTTGTACATGTCTTGCCATCGTCCAAGAATCCGTTAGAAGAATAATGCTCGTGTTCACTGGATTACAAGAAACAGTGAACTGAAAAATTGGCGTATTGGAAGAAAATTGAACAGTTCTCAACTTCGACTTGTTTTGTTTGTTAGCTGCTGTTTTAACGCCGCAGTTCGCGTTGCGAATGTTTCACAAGAGCGGTCATTGCCGATATCGGCTAACCGGCTCAACACGTTATACGTGTGAGTGCTGAAAGCTATGGTACGTATACCATGAAAAGCTGAGTTGGAATGAAATGGTGCCCCGGTAGCGTAACTGGTAGCGCACTTGCCCGGAAAGCGAGAGGTGCGGGTTCTAGTCCCGCCTGGGGCGAAAGTTTTGTTCACAACCCAGCATTCTTGTGAAAAATTCTCAGCTTCCTTCAACGAAAAGTGACTTTCGTTCTTCTCGGTTTACTCGGTTCACTCAACATTTCACTATATTGCATTCCAGAAGGGGCGCGTTGTTCTCAACGCGCGCTCACCGCTTCTCCACTACTACGGTCGCTAAGCCAGCTTTTGCTGTGCCGCTTGCTGGTCTCTTGTTGGATCGAGGCAGGCCTTTGTTCTAAAGTAGGTACATATAAGGCATACCAATTTGCAGCATAGTTACGTGATAATGAGGGTGCGCAGTGGTCGATCTAAGATTAGGAACTCGTCGACAATTTTGCAACTCGTGCTCCT